CAACTACAAAACACAACAAATTTTTTTTTTAAAACCTCATTTTCCTGGAAAAAAAATTTTCCCAAAGGGTTTTCCAGATTTCACTAATTAAACATTCCACATGCTATTACATGTAATTATGAGCCCATTTCTTGCCCTTCGGTGCCATATCGTGTTTCTTATTCTGCTATATCAGCTCCTTCATTAGGGATTTTTGATTCTCAGCATGTTAGGGGCTCAGCTGTTGCTGTGAACACACAGAAGAAAAGCAAGCTAAAGACAGAAATCCATGACCACGATTCTGAAAAGAATAATAACAACAATAATAGAAAAGCCCACCACAGATTTCTGGAGTGGGATAATTGATCATTTTGAAAGCCCTGGCTCCCTTTAAAGCAGACCTTATAAGGAAAGCCACCGTTAATCCCTTGTGCTTGAAAGTAAAGACTCAGAAACTTTCCCCAAAGATTTTTTTTTAATACCAGTTAACCTTAAGCCAGTTGAACAATGTTTAACATGGACAAAAAACTGAAATGAACAACTTCTTTTACATGAAATGAGTCTACTGCAATGAAGAGAAGAGCCAGTTTGGCATCATGGGAAAAAGACCAGCCTTGGAGACTTGGATTCAAATTCTGCCTCTGATATTCATTATGAGACCCCACGCAAGCATCTTAATCTCGCAGTGACCTGGGAAATCCTCCAAGACTCTAGGTTACAAAATGGCTGCCAACGTGCATTGGCAAAGGGAGTTTTTAGACAAGGAATTCTGTATGCTGATGAAATATGGATACAACTCTGCATTATTCCAACAACAGAGAAAGTCCATTGCTATCTACTCATCATTCGCTCAATTGTCACACAATTTTTGAGCATCTACTACTTGTAAAGTGGCAAGGCAGATAAATAAGATAGAGTCCCTTCAAAGGATCTAAATTCAAATCATAGTTTTGTCACTTAGTAGCTGTGTGACCCTGGACAAACCACTGAGTTTCTCTAGTACTCAGCTTTGTCATCTATAAAATGAAAGGGTTAGACTGGATAACCCCCTGAAATCCTCCCCAACTCTTAATCTATGATCCTATGTTCCTTTCATCAAGGACCAAAGAATATAATGGGGATTAAATATAACTATTAGTGCAAAGTACAATGTGGTAGGTATAAATAGAGATACAAAATAGTTCAGAGGAGGGAAAGGCCAATTCTGCCTGAAGTGATCAGGGCAGACTTCATGGTTGAGATGGCAAGGCCTTAAAAGATGGGTAGGATTTCACCAAGCAGAAATGGGATACATAGCAGATTTAAGGAAAACAAAAGCACAGAGGCAGGAAAATACAGGATATATTCAGGGAATTTCAAAAAGAGTAGGACATGTAAAGGACATTTGTGAGAAAAGCACCCAAATGAGGTAGCTGTGGCCAGATTGTGGAAGGCCTTGAATGCCAGGCTGAGATTGTATTTTATTCAGTAGGCAATGAGGAATCATTGAATGAGCTTGAGCAGGAGACAGGAATTCATATTACCAGAGCTATGTATTGGGAATTATGGCACTGATCTGCCAGCAAAGTATAGTATAAAGCAGAAAGGGGAGAGACTGAAGGCAGAGAGACCAGGTAGGATAACGATATTTCAATAATTCTACTTTGTTGGCTCTGTAGACTCATCAGTGTAGGGACTCTCTTCACTGATACAATCACAACCCATTCATGCCTGCCCTTCCTATGCAGTGGCTGTCTTTGTTATCCTGGAGGTCTGCCATAGAGGACCCACCCAACCTGCTAGGGTTATTGACAATGTAATAGAATCTGCTGATTATCCCCAGTTATCCTATATTATACTACATTCTTTCCAAGCAACTAATCTGTCTTTCCAGTGAGACATATCTCTAATTCTATATTTTGCTTTGCTTCTGCAATGTGATCCTTCATTTGTAATTACCGTAACCATATGTGCTCATTTTTAAAAGTCATATATAGTTCAGCCTTACTAGGGCCTTTCTTATTTTTCATCCAAAGATTAACCTTTTATTCATATCATCTAAACTCGGCTGTGCTCATACAATTAGAAACACAAGATCTTACACACACACACACACACCCCAACACACCACACCCCCTCTTTCCAAAACATAGGTATGTCACATGTAGAATTTCTTCCCGCTGTGGCTACATCCAAAACTCTACCTTTAAGAATAAAAGTAAATTTATGCAATAGAATAATTGACAGGACTACAAGTCTGCCAAGGCTAAGACATTAGGTGCTAAGGTCTCATAAAAACAAAAAGACAGAGAAGAAAGAAAACTTTTGTTTATACCTACTCCATTTTACATTGCACTATAGCACACCAATACATGATCACTGGAACTGTGAAGTGATCTAATTGTTCCAGAAAACAATTCTGAAGTAAGCAAGAAAATGAACTAAATTGTTCCTCTTCTTTGATCCAGCAATCCCACTACTGAATATATACCCTCAGGAGGTCAACGACAGTAACAAAGGTCCAATATATTAAAAAATATTCATAGCACTTCCTTTTTTATGGAAACAAAGAAGGGAGGGATGGGAAAAGTGACTGCCCAAGAAATGGTGAATGGCTGAGGCATCATGGTACAATGGAAAGATTACTGGATTTAGAGTCAAATAACTGGGAGTTGAGTCTCTACTTTGAACTTTAATACCTATGAGATTTTGGACAAGTTACTTATCCTTGCCTCAGCTTCTTCATTTATAAAATGAGAAGTTTGGACAAGATGACCTCTGAGGGTCCCTCTAACTCTATCTCTATGATCCAATCATATGAATGTAATGAAACATTATTGGATGATAAAAAAATTACATAAGGAATTAAAAAAAACACAGGAAGATTTATGTGAACTAAGGCAGATCTAAATAAGCAAAATCAGAAGAAAAATATTTATAGTAACTACAATGATATAATGAACACTAAAAGGAAGCCCAATTCTAAGTAACTGTAATAACTAATCTTAGTCTCAGAGAAAAAATAATGAAACATCCCTCCCTTCTCAATCTCACCAGAGAGGCAGAAGGCTAGGAGAGCAAAACATTGCACTCATTGTTAGATTCTGTTACTGAAAAAGTTGTAGATACTGAACTGTCTTTCTGTTTTAAGAGAGACAAGGGTTCAATTTGTGGAGGATGAAAGGAAGTGTCATTTTAGTAAGAGTTAGTTTTAATACCTTAATAGCATACTAGTAATAAGTTTGTCAGTTTCATACAACTGACTCCATTTTGTCTTAAGCCTCCATTTTGGGATTGGGTTATTTGGGGTAAGTTATTTTTCTATAAGTTGTTTTTCAATACTAAGATAACCATGTGTGTGGTACGATGTAATAAATAATGTGTTTTCTTAAACAATTTTTAAACATATGTGGACCCTTTGATAAGACAGACCACCAATAAGAAAACCATTATAAGCAACATTATCAGAAACTTATGTAGTAAACTACCAAACAAATTATGTGGTTTAAAAAAAAACACTTAGAAACACCCATAGGTAGAAGCATAAAAAACATACTGGAGACCACAGTTATAAGCCTGTTCCTAGGAAGTGACTATGGTTGACTCCTGTCTTTCTTGAACTTGAGACTCAAGCATGTTCATGTTTGTTTAAGGATAATGTTGACTGACTGACAGAAACTTGCCAAGTGGCCATATAGGAGGGAGACACACAACCTCCAGCTGTGTAGAGAGGGAACCTTGTTGTGAGTAGAGTAGGAAAGATACTTGCTTATCTTAACCTCTAAGACTCAAATCGGCAGTTTGTTCTTAGATAGCTGTATGTGTGCTTTGATTAATAAAGTCTGATTTCATGCAGTGAGAAATGGGGTGTTTCCATCACACTAGTTAGCATATGTAATGATAATTCATCTATAAGCGAGTACAATACATTATACATAACAAGATATGATTGTGATATATTTTCCATTTCATTGAAGCACTGGAAAGAAAAATGGGCTTGACATTGGAAGTCTTGGGTTCAAATCCCAGTTCCACCCCTCACTACCTATGTAACCCTGGGACAGTCACTTAACCACTCTAGACCTCAGTTTCCTTATCTGTAAAATGAAGGGGTTGAACTAGATGACTTCAAAGGTCTCTTCCAGCTCTAAATTTGTGATCCCATTATCCTCCCCACAGAATAACAAAATAATTAAAAACTTAAGGCAATCCCACAGTCCCGAAGTAACAGTAGACTACTGATTCAAAGACATACCCAATAAAAGCTAAAAGTTTAACTCCCACTGAAGATGACTATAGCAGTATTTCTTTAATGGAGCAGAAAGTTCTCAACCCCAGGAGAACCAACCCTTCTGGCCCTCAAAATAGAAACACCTCTGCCTTCTACTTATAAAGGTGCTCATTACAATACAATTGTTCTGTTCTTCTCCACTCCTAACTTCCAAGTCTAGACTTAGCTGAGGTGGGTATTGTAATCTGTCTTGCTGGCTTCAGTGGGGTGACTCATGGATGCCACCTTTTAGCACTTGGGCTGTTCTCTGAATTCAATGATTCAGAATGCTGTTTCTATGCACAGGATTGGACTGAAATACTCAACAAACATAGTCTTCCTACAACTGAACAGGGTCTTACTGATCTTAGGGGTTAAACCAATCCCCCTATTTTCTTCACAAAATCTATCCTCATTACTCCAGCAGATGTGTTAACCACCAATAAAGATTGAGATTGTTTTAGTTACATAATAAAGATAGTTTAGCTAGATAAGCATGCTCATTTTCCATGCTGATTAGTCTATTTAGTACTTTAGTGTCTGGAATACAATTTAAATAAGACTTCACTCTTAAAGGCACTTGATGAGTTCTGTTCTAGTAAACCAGTGACAGGGAAATACATGACCCTCTGGAAGCTTTGCAAACACAAGGGAACCAATATTCAGCCACATGGCTTGTGTCTAGAGCTAAAACACCAATGAACAACAACAACAAAAACTCCACCACTCTTGAAATGTTTACACTTCAGTTAATAACTTTATAAATATTTACCTAGATCTTTAATAAGAGAGAGGGCTTCCCATGACACAAATGCTCCACTGCCATCATCAAGGGCTCCCTGACCAACATCCCAGCTGTCCAGATGTCCACTGACCAGGACAACCTAGAAAATACAAATACAGAGACACTGCTTTACTAAATGTGAAAGAAAAAAAAGTTAAAATGGCACTTACTATATGGACTTTAATTATTTTCTTTACCAAATGTGTTAGGAGAAAACTTATGAATACATTAGACACAAGAGAATCTACAAAGCCAATTCTCCACCTCCTATGGCACCTCTCCTCCAACTCCCCATGGTATAATGGATGGAGAGCAAGAATTAGAGTCAAGAACATCTATATTTAGATCTTTCCTCGGATACTTATTAACTATGTGACACTGAGTAGTCACTTAAGTTCTCTGGGTCTGTTTCCCTATCTTTAAAATGAAGGAGTTGGGCCTTGAGCCCCCCCTCTAGTTCTGATGCTTAAAGCTCCTTTCAGCTTTGAATCTATGATTCTGTGACCTCTTGTCTTCAGTAATGATTTACTGAATTCTCTTGTGAGCAGCGATTTTTAAATTTACCATATTCATATTCCAGAGCCTATTCTAGTACCTGCCACTTATAGTAGATGCTTAATAAATTCTTGATGATTGATTGGTGTATATGGTACTCTCTTGGATTCCATGATACAGTAGAAGGAACTCTATTCAGAATCAAGGGCCTCGGTTCTAATTCTAGATCACTCACTAGTTATCTGTGTGATCATGGGCAAGTTGTCTAACCTCTTTGGGCTTCATCATCGATTGGGGAATGGCTGAACACATTGTAATATATGGTCATGATAGAATACTACTGTGCTATAAGAAATGATAAGTCCTATGATTTTAGAAAAACATGGAAAGACTTGCTCAAAATAACAAAGAGCAAAATGAGTAGAATCAAGAGAACATTGTATACAGTAACAGCAATATGGTTTTAAGAATAACTTTGAGCAAATAAGTTATTTTGACTATTAGAAATACCCAAAGTAATTATGAAGGACATATAAAGAAAGATGTTATCTATATTCAGAGAAAGAACTGCTAGATAGATGGATAGAACAATTTTACATATATGTATGTGTATATACATATACAGATATATACACACATATGTGTGTGTGTGTGTGTGTGTGTGTGTCTGTCTGTCTAATAGTAGCCACCCCTGGGGGGGGGAAAGGGAAGAATAAAAAAGAAATTTATATGATAATTTTGTTGTATATTTCTTCTGCAATCATCTTTTTTATTGCACTGTGTTATAGAAATGCTTGTTTTATTCCATAAATTAAAAATAAAATTTTTAAAAAAGAAAGATTTAGTGTTTGGACTAAATAGTTTCTGAAGCCCCTCCTAGCTCTAAATCTATGGTCTTATGATCCAAAAGAATTTGGAATAGGAAGGACTCTCAGAAGACATCAAGTATAGCTCCCTCATTTTACAAATGAGAAAACTGAGGCATTAAGAGATAGGGTGACTTTCCCAGGGTAACAGAGCTAGTAAGTGTCTGGGGGAAGGGAGACAGACCAAAGTATTCCTGACTTCAGCCCATTATAATACTTAAATTTGCTTTATTATTAAATAAGCCTGGAGATAATATCATCCTCTAAGAGGTGGAATCCCTGCAGCTTCAAGATAATCATGCTTTGTGATTTAAAAAATTAGTAATTTTCTCTTAAAAATATGAAAAGTTTCTACCTGAACCATTTTTTTTTTGGTGGAAAAATTTTGAACAACTGCCAAGTGGACTTGGGCTAATTATCTGGATAATTAAGGCTAAAGGAGGTCTTTCAGATGAATTATCTTGATTGGATGCCTTTAAGAAGGAACTGGGCTCCTTTCCTCTGTTTCCTCTGTCTGCATAGGCAAAACCCAAAGTCCCCTTTCATTGTTGTTATATGTGGTTATTACACTGTTCCCCTAAATAGCCATGGAGCTGACCCAGAAGGAATGATTCCTTTGATCCCAGGAAAGAATGAAGACATATTAAAACAACAGGAAACTGATTCAAAAAATGGTGTAATCCCGTTTGGGATAATATTCTAATCAGTTGGCATTTTCATCTCCCTTTACAATCCCTGAACTGACACAATTAAAAGGAACAATGGATTGGGAAAGAGTTTAACATTTTTTGAATGAACTTTTACTTAGATCAGGATTTTTTTTTAAGAATAGAAAAAAAGTTAATTCTGCCTTTTTTTCTGCAACATTTTGGCATCCGTTTTTATGGATTCTTGATAATGTTTTCTGAAATGGTTTCTCCCCCCCCACCAAATCAAATCCTATACAGGATTAAATATAAAATTGGAAGTGGAAATATAGTCAAAGATAGAAGAAAGATTCAGAGAACCAAGGGACATTCTATATAGTTTGCTCTTTGGTGTTTCTGTAGCATTTTTATCCTTTAACGAACAATGGAATAATGGCTAGAAATACTGGAGATAGCAAGGAAGGAAAGAGCACTGGGTCTAGAGGATGATAAGACCAGGGTTTGATTCCCACCTCTGACACTTACTATGTGTCCATAGGCAAGCCCTTGAACATTTCAGTGCCCCAGTTTTCTCTTCTGTAAAATCAGTGCAATATTAACTATAGTTATTTTTCATGTGGGAATTATGTTTTCAAATAAGACAACTAGTTGTATGGAAAAACTTCTTAACAATTCAAACTATCAGTAAGTGGAATGGATCTCTCCAATTTGATTGTAAGCTTCTTGAGGTCAGAGACCATATTTTACCTCTGTCTGTATCTCCAAAGCTTAGCACAGTGCCTGGAAGGTGCTTAGTAAATGTTTATAGGATAAATGAAGAATAGGTTGCTTGAGGAGGTAGTGTATTAGCCTCCCCTCACTGAGGTCTTCAAGCAAAGGATGGATGATCACTTTTAAGGGATGATGTAAAGGGGCATCTTGGTAATGGGTAAAACAAGATGGCCTCAGAGGTCCCTTTCAAGCCTGAGATTTTGGAATGCTATGTCTGTAAAGTACTTTGTAAATCTTTGAGGTTTACACTTAGGGGGAAAGAGGCCTTATGTGTCAACTATTACTATTTTTATTAATGGTTTACTATAAACTTAATTAGACAAATGCAGATACAGGTAATGATGAGGACATATGCAAAGGACTCCAACCTAAAAATGAGGTCATACCCGGAGGACAAGATTAGAATTCAGAATAAATTATCAAAGTGATCAGAATCTTGTTACAGATGAGTGCACGACAGGAAACTGCTGAGGAATTTTAATTTTTTTTAAGGACTCAATGAGCAAACAAGTAGCAACATATGAAGACATAGAAAAGGATTTAGAGCTCACAGACTGAATATGAGCCAACCACAAGGAAAGCAGTCATAGAATATAAGTTGAGCATAGGATATTCTTATATACCTAAATCTTGACAGACTGTTCTTGGGATAAGATAGGGCAAATTAGAGTGAATTTCAAGAAATTGTTAATTTCTTTTGTTGTACAGAAATTTTAGTGCATTGAAACACTACTGAAAATAAGTGGGCCATCTGCTGACGCATGTCAATCTTTAAATTAGACAGAGGTTTTTATTCTAATGGGATATGACCACTTTCCTATGGTTTTAGAGATGTGTGGAACAACTGGAAGGGGTCTAGACAGTGAAAAAAAAATTACACAAAGATTTAGACTTTTTAAATAGAAAATTTAGGAAGCCAGAGGCCTAAATAACAGATCAACTACCCAATATCATCTGTTCAAAGTTTAAGTTTCCAATGATATAATTGAAAGATAGTGAGATGCAGAATAAAATACGCTAGACTCTGTGGGCATGAGATTTGGATTTTGGAGCTGCCACTGCAACTAACCCATTTTATGATCTATGACAGAGCAACAGGCCTTAGTATACTCATCTATAAAGTGGGCAAGCTAAGATATTTAAGGTCCCTTTCAGCTCTAACATCGTATAAGTCCATAGTCAAATCTGTTACAAGACCTCCCTTATTTCACTTAATATAAATCCTTTTTAATGACTAAGTGAAGCATGAATGGGGCTACCTCCTACAGAACTGTCAAGAACAGAACAGAAAAGAGGTTCTATCCTTCTCCTAAGGCCCTCTTGTAGACTCTTTATTAGATTGCTACCCCCAACCTCCTACCATCATTCCCGTTTTTGTCTCATTTGCTCCTGGTCAGGGACCAAGCTGTATGGTCCTTTCTTCTTACCAATCTCATTTACACTTGCCCTTTATTTCCAATATACACTAGCTCAGGACCTCACAGAGTTGATTGTGGTCACCCATGCCAAACCACATGTAACAAGAAGCCAGAATTGTCTGAAAAAAGCCTTCACAGGATTTCGGTGCTTGTATGCTTCCTCTGTTTTTATACTTATCTTCTGAATGACTGACTGATCTTGACACCTGGCTTTTAATATTCTGCATATTAATTCTGCTACTTATACAGATTTGTAACTATGCCTATGATCTCCTGGACAGACTACAGATAAGTGGAGTATTTGCTACACAATGTTAGTCAGATGGTTAGGTAATAAATATTTACTAAGTACCCACTGTATAACAAATACGGTGCTAAGTGCTGAGCCTACATAGAGAGGCAAAATATAATCCCTTTTCTCATGTAGCTCACAATCTAATGGTGGCGACAACTATGCATAAGTAAGCTATATCCAGGCTAAATAGGAAATAATTAAGAGAGGAAAGATACTAGAATTAAAAAGGGTTGGGAAAGGCTTCCTGGAGGAGATGGGATTTTAGCTGAGACTTGAAGGAAGCCATGGGAAGCCAGGAGGAGAGCATCTGATGAATGGGGGACAGCCAGTGAAAATGCTTAGAGTTGGAAAAGGAGTTTCTTGTTGGAGGAATAGCAAGGATGTGAATGTCACTGAACCACAGAATACATGCTGGGGTATAAGGTGTAAGAAAACTGGAAGGAGGGGCAGGGTAGGTTATAAAGAGCTTTGAAAGCCAGAGGATTTTACATTTATTAGAGAACATTCTCTTTTACATACATTCTACCATGGACTAGAAATTGGGAAACCAGGTGTCCTTGATTGTTTCTCCCCCAGACTGAATACTTTGATCATACTGAATTGGATCA